GCATATTGAGTGCTCCAACTAATTACCGCAAGTTGACACTATTTGATGCATTGTGTGCGGTGCGGCTGCGAGTTCAGCGCAGCGTTGCGCGGCCTGCATCAGAATCCTGGGAGGAGGATTATTGACAGGCGTGAGACTTATAGGCTCTTCATATTTTTAGTGGGATTGACATTTACCGCGACTGTGATAGCAAATATATTTATGTTATGGATCCGGCTGGGAAAATCGAGTGTTGAAAATAGACACATTCATGTCCAACGAACCCGAACAGCTAAAAAACTGTTTCAAAGTTTTCATCTCGCCCTCGGTGTTATCACTTCGGGGAATCTCTCCATCCTCAATCTACCATAAATACCTGCCATACTAAAGTACCACTAAGGCGTATTCGCTTCCCACATTCAAAATGCGGCTTTTCAAAGCTGTTCCGACATGCTAGGGCATTTTAACGAGAGTGACATCTTCTATAAGCTTCAGCCCTTGTTCTGATATTGCGGATAATTTAGTCCTGATATCTACCCCGCGCGGGACTCAGGCATACCAAATTTTTGGGTTGTGAATTGAGCAGGCTGATACCAAATATGTGCGCGACACGTTCTGCTCAGTTAAAACTTTAACCATGGACACATATAAGACGAAATATATACGGACATGCATACCTATATTAGCTTTTGAGGATCACGGAGCGCTATCCAGTGAGATCGATAATTTCGTCAAAGCAGGATTCATGCATTTTTTCGAAGAAGGCGTTTTCCGTCGCCGGTGGGCCGCAGGCGACGCGGGAGATGCCCAATCAGGGCTCAAGCCCCGGCACGGCGGCCGCTTCCCTCCCACATGCCGCCTCTACCGCGGCGCTAGAAGCACGGCGCGACGGGCGAAATCTTGTCCGAGCAGTACACGTCCTCCATGGTGAAGGCGTATACCTTGCCCGTCTTGCCGAGGTCACCGGTAGCCTCCTTGTACTGCCAGGTGACCGGGCCGGTGGTGGCGCGGAACCGCGCGAAGGCGTACAGCGCCTTGCTGGTGCCGCGCACGGGGTGCACTCCACCCGACATGAACGCCTTGTCCGGCTTGCGCACAAAGTCGGCGCCGCAGTAGAAGTGACTCGCCTCGAACACGGGGTCGAAGACCTCCACCTGGAAATAGCGGCAGCCGGTGGAGAAGAGGAAGAGCAGGCGCTCCGGGTCGGGTGTCATCTCGAAGAGGATGAGGAAGCCGACGCGCACGCACTTCTCCTTGCCGGTGTACTCGACGCGCCAGACACAGTTGTTCGGCCGACTGCGATCCATGCGGTTGAAGCTGAGCGCGTTCTTCTGGAAACGGCTGTTGTCGGTGGTCACGTCCACATCGCAGGGCTCCGGCTCCGGTGGTGGTGCCGCGCACGACGCCTTGCCCTTGCTGCAGCCGAGCACGTGCTTGGCGAACGCCAGATCAGCGTCCGGCACAAACGCGTCCTGGATGCCGATGCCGCTGGACATCATGAGCCCCTTGTCCGTCTGGAAGGACGAGAGGAAGACGGCCTCGCCGCTGCGCGACAGCCCGTACGTGTCGTACATCATGATGGACTGGTAGTTGAACGGGCACGCAGCGTAGTCCTTGGTGTTGAGGTACATGAAGTCGTCGACGAGGCCGTTGTGCGCGCGCACGTACAGATACTTGTCACGGTCGGGTCGAGAGTGCGCGTGCGGCAGGCCCAACACGTGCCCCAGCAGGTGGACCAACACCGGTTCGCTCTCACAGTCCTTCGCCAGCACCAGCACTTGATGGGAGCCCGTATAGCCCAGCTGGGCGTAGCAGCCCTCTCCGTACTTGATTTCCAGTGTGCCGGACTTGTCCTCCTTAAACTTGACGCAGGTGCCGCCTGACCAGCGCGCCATGGCGTGCTCCACCAGCTCCTTGCTCGGACCCGGTGTGCCGATCTTGTACTTGACCGTGTTGCTCGGCCACGGGTTGGCGACAAGCGGTGCCGAGGAGGATGTGTCCGGCTGCAGCGAGTACCGCTTCTTCTGCGCCGATGACAGCAGCATGTCGCCCTCGTGCAGCTTACTGCCGATTGGCCTCCACAGGTTGAGCATTAGCAGGTCTGTGGAGCATGAGATGTCAGGGTGGCTTTGTGTATGGGGCGCGGGAGGAATGCATTGTTGGGCTACTGTCTGTCCATCTGATGATGGATGTGCTCTGCGTTATATCGATGAGTACCGTGCTTGCATTTAATACGATTTTAAGGATACTGTTATGAACATTGCTGATGCGCGGATTATAGTCGGAGATTTGGACGCTGAAAATTCTTGGTTGCAAAAATATCGTATTAAACGATTCGCTTGAAGTCTTTAAGTAGTGACATCATTTGATCCCATAATCACCTAATGACCGCTGACCACCAAGCCGTGTAGAAGTCTCCAAAACGTGTTAAATGGTTAGCTCAAAGAAGGAAAAAGTAGGATAAAACAAATCTTGTAAAGCCACGTGCTTAACGGATCTAGATGGCATGTTTGATACACAATGAAGCCAGCACGTTGTTGATTGTTACTGCATCACGTGCTGGTTATTTGCCTCTGTCTGGGATGGCCTGCGGCTTGTGGAGCGGCGGTCGCTCCAGGCCAGATAAAAACAGAGCCTGGGTAGACCGTCCCGAGTATGACGGCAATATTGTATACAACTTTCGCCGCAAAATTCCGCAGCTAAGCTGGGACTTCAAGGTATGATGCCAGGGTTCACACAGCAAAATCTGCTTAATGCGGGCTCTCGTTCTAGAAATGTATCCGATCACTATAGTCGAACTACATTCAGATAAATTAAAAATGTGCCCAGGTGGAGCATTGCACACTGCTTATAGTCGGCTACACACTAGTGAGGAAAAAAGGAGCATGCATGAATGAATAGACGTTACGTAATCTTGCACTTTTATGTCTAAGCTGCTTACGTTTCCTGGAGGCGATTACACATACTGAATTGGGTCCGATTTTCTCATGACAAAATAACCGGCTTTGATGTGCTGTTGGCAGATTTAACCAGGCGAAGGATAAGACACGAGGAAGTTTTTTCGGTCTCATTCATTTGACGCAGGGAGGGTTTAAATCGTTGATTAAATTGTTTAAGGGTCAGAAAGATTACTAGAACAAAAAGACCGGCTTGCTTTTGCCAGCAATGTATGTAGGAGCTCTAAAGAGAGTAATGGGATTTTTCATATAGCTGAAATCCTCTTGACCAAGCATTTTGTGCTAGTGGATCCTATGGACCTGCAAAGACGCACTGCGTGTCCCCCTCTTTTTGTGCTCCATCTCTGCTTTGTTTTGTTGGATGCATACATGATGCTGTAGGGGAAATAGGCAGACCAGGCAAAGCACAGACACTGCAACAGCCTGAAACGTTGGTATCGAATCAGTCGCCTCTCATGCATATTGCCTGGCATGATCCTTGCTCATATCCATATCTAGATGCGTATGTGAGACATTAGATCATCGATGTACCTGGTGCCAGCTCTCAGCCAAGAAGGAAACCATATCTGTGCTGCTCAACGTGAACTCAAGATTAAAAGCCGTCGACTCAAGATTACAACCAAAGACAACCCGTTACGGCTCCACCACTCTACCTACCTGGCATCGCCCGCGCACATACAATTTTGCAATTTATGTACACGATTTGTGTTACCGTCATGTCATTGCGAACGTTCAGAAGACGATGCGATTGCGATACAATATTTTCCATAAATCGTTTCACGCAAGTTATGTGGACAAACAGGCAGCCAAACTCTCCTTATTGTTCCTAGATACTCTTTTGGGGCTTCACGTGCATTACATGCCACCTAAATGTGATCAGTCTTGCTGTAATAGACCGTTAGCATTTATTTTGGTCAAACATCGGACGGGTATAGCCAAACACCTGTGGAAGGTATATTTGCCTCGAGTGGCCCGCGATTCGTGCCGAAACACCTTGAAAAATCCCTGCTCGTATCGCCACTGTAGCATGCGGGAAATCAAATCGTGAAAGAAGCTTGTGGTATCACTGGCCTACGATGACTCCGTGTCCTTTCCATCCCTAATTATTGTACCGAATCAGTTTTACGCACGTTTTGCTACTAGCATGCGTGCTTCGCTCAGCTACTCCACGCCCAGACTCACTGATTAGGCTCACTGGCCAACCCGACAGCACGAGATTTCCGACGTACCTGTGGCAGACATTGGAGGCTGGTATTCCTTCATGTAGTCTGCTTGGTTTTGCAGACTGATGATGTCACCTAGGCCTTGGTGAATAAGCATTACTGTCAAACAACTTCGTAAAGTATTCCACATTTTGACCGCCATGGGTTTGTGTTCAACAGGAAACAATCACCAAGTCGCGGGTGTGCTGCTAAGATTGATCAGGTATTGCTCAGATGCATCTCGACTATGAATTTGTCCTGTTGTTTTCCATAAAATAAAGTGAGTAAAGTAAAACAGGCTCAAATCCATTAACGTTAAACGATTTTAGAGGTAGCTTATTTGTCATTCCTGATCTTCTGAGGCCAAGCACGCGGATATTTGGTGCCAGATCCTCGCGTCAGTAAGTGATGAGAGAAATATTACAAACAGACTGATGTCTGAAACTCCAGGTTTATTTCAAACTGTCACCACCGCATACCATATATGGCGTCAAAGCGGTTTTATGCAATCGACGAAAAGTCGATGACAAGCACCCATCAGGGAGCAAGAGCCCCGGGTATCAACTACCTAAACTTTGCGTAAAGAGCGGTGAACGTCTCAGGAGTTGTGAAGCTAAGTGCTAATCATATTGTTATCTTAAGCTTCCGTTAAGGTTACATCTTGATAGTCTAACGCAGACGTAATAAAGATTGGTATGCACATCAAAATCGATAAATAGCCCAGCGTGATTATCATCGTCTAGATAAAAAACGAGCACTGGCCTGAATGTGGAATCATAGCTGATAATGAATATCGCGTGCCGAGGTTCGCACATTTTGACGGCTCTACTAGTGGCAGTTCAGTCGGAAGACTTTGCAGACTCTACAGCAGCCGCACAATGTTTCCTGCGAATGGGGCGCTTGCAGATGACAGGGAAACGTTGGTCGCACCCGACATCCATCCACTCGCCATCGAACCAGACGATGGCGCAGGCGTTCGGAGACTCGTTGGGTTCGTCCGGAAGCCCGTATGCCCCGTAGCGGTGGAAGTTGGTGAACCGCCCGCGAAGCACCACCACCCAGAAAGGCCGGCCGAGCCGCGCCGCCTGCCGATGCACAAATGCGTTTTCCTCGCGGTTGAGCACCGCGGCGGCTATCATGCCCTTGCTCTGACAGTACGTCCATGCCTCCGCGTAGGTCATCTCGTGCTCGTGTACGTGCCAGCAGGCGAGGCCGAGCTGCGTCGTGCCGGCAGGGCAGAGGACCGGACACAACGGCGCCTGGCAGGGCGGACCTCGCCTCGGCCTACCGTTGAAGCTGTCAGTGCCACAGCCGTCCCAGTCGAGGCGGCAGCCGGTGCCAGCGACGTCGGCGGCGTACTGGATGCGACAGCCGCGCACCGGTGTCTCACAGACGGACGGCAGCAGCACGCCGCACGGCGCCGCCACCAGGCCGCGGCGCGCCGCGTCGAACGCGGCGCAGTCGAGCGGCGTCTCGTCGCGCGGCTCGCCGGCCGTCCAGGCGGCGCGCGGCACTGGTGTCTCATCCTCCTGCCAGCGCCACTGGAGCTGCGCGTTGCGGCGGCTGGCGCCCGCCCACAGAAGACCGGCGTTGGCCGCCGCCGGGAGCGACCGCCAGCGGCGCTCGTCCCCCTGCCGCGCCGGCCGCCACACCGTGGCCGCCGCGTCCAGCGCCTGGCACGCCCGCAGCGCCGCCGTCAGATTGCGGGCCGGCTGCTGCTCGCTAAGGCACGCCGAGCGCTGCCGGCCGGCCGCGTCGCCCACGCGGCCCACGCTGGCCCGCCGGAACCCGGCGGGACACGTTGCTCGTGGAGAGTGACTGGCGGTGAAGTTGAACGGCGCATTTGAAGGCCGCTGTTGTGGGGTCTTGGACGGCTGCTCGCGCGACACGTGCACCATCCGCGTGCAGATGGCCGGCTTGGAAATTCGGCAGTCGGTGTCGCCCCACTTGCCGTTGCCGGGGTCGTCGTGCAGCACCCGGTGTCGCATCAGCTCCACACAGCCCTCGAACCCGCCGCCGTCCGGCTGCCGGTAGAAGCCAGGCGTCTCGCTGGGCAGCATGTTGGTGAAGTGCGCCGGCTCGCCACTCAGCCAGGCCCAGATGACTCCCGGGCCGGCCGGTTCGCCGCGGGGGTGGCGTACCATGCGCTGCCGCGCCACCGCCCCGATGTACGCCGAACGCGTCAGCATGCCGTACAGCTGGTCGTTGTGCGCCTGGCTGTAGACGGTGGCCAGCCGGCCGCCGGCGCGCGCGCAGGTGCGCAGCGCGGCCGCGAACGGCAGCGCCGGCGTCAGGCTATGGCAGAGGAGGTTGCCGCAGTAGCGGAAGGGCAGCTCGTCCGGCCGGCATCCAGCCGCCGGCGTCTGGAACGAACGCCAGACGTGGCTGTTTTCGTCATTGCGTGGAAACGTGACTGCATTCATCGTCGCAATGTGAATGTGAGTGTATGCGCCTAAGAAATGGAAACCTGACAGGCTGAGCGGCACCGGCATACTTTTTATTTGACTTCCGATGGCTGCGATGGTATTCCGATGGCCCTTGTATTGGGTATGCGCGCTGTTATCACCGCGACCTCTCCGGCTAAGGCGAGTTTTTGACATCTCCTCAATACAGGCTGTCAATCAGACGGTCATCACACGGCCTAGAACTTGGTTTATCTTTTGCAGGAGAACCAAGGCCTTGAAAGTGTTTTTAGCGACATCGGCTTGGCGCAGATGCACGTGTTGAGCTTTATAACCTCGCCGGAGCAGAAGGAGTCTGTCGGAGCTCACCCGCTGTTGCGAGATGAGGCTGTATTGAACGCATTAAACGATCATGAATAAGATCATGGGCATGCTCTCTCGCAATGCGGCGCACTGCGCCAAAGCTGGCGTGGTTCGTGGTACTCGCTCAGTAATGCGATGAGCCATTTACAGGCTTAATAGGGGCGTAAAAAATCTGAATTCGAAAGGTCAGCGACGGACGCGCGATCTGACCTGACAGGGAAGCATCTGATAGGCTCGAAGGATGTTACTTTGTGTGCTTGGGTAGGAGGCAACATCTTCAAATTTTAACCTGGGACTTTTGACGATGCGTGGCAAGACAGGCATAAAGAAGTCGCAAGTATGATTGAAACCCCCGATATTCTCAAGGAGATGTGACTCAGGGATCAGATGAATTACTTAAGATTGCATGCAAAGCTACGGATGTCCTTTAAAAATATTAAACGCGCGTTTTCAGAAAAACAAGTGAACGCCATATATCCTCCCTGGAGAAACGTAGAACGCGTCATTCCATATATTTTCAGCGGTTTGAAGGCTTCTCATCTCGCCTGCCACCCACCTGACTTTAGCACCTGGTATGCCCAGTACCCGCCTTCCCTCCACAAAGATTGGTAGGAGAAGGGTGGCGGGGCCAAGGGTCTTTGTGGTGTAAAACAGGCTGAATATAGCCGTCATGCAGCAAATGTGACGTCTATCGTCGTTTAATCAAAGTTTCCTTCTCACTGGGTTGCAACCCAATCCCTGAAGCGGGTAACGTAGAAAATATTTAAACTTTATTATTAATTTCTCGACAACGATGACGAACTACGCATAGTTAACTTCCCAGGCTTTTGCAAGCTAAGACGTACGATTCGATTGTGTACTATGAAGACAGCTCGCAACGTTCAACATGAGTGATTCGTTGGACCTCCGTAGACCTAGTGAGCTCCACGTAGTGAGCCCCGTTTAGTGAAAACAGTTTTGTGTGGACAATTTCTGGCGTCAGGAAGACTGCCCTGCAGTCCTCTTGCATATTCAAGTTCACCTTAAGATCTAAAAAGGAAAAAATGCAGGATACCCGTCAGTCGACGACGGCCGGCGAGACGACATGCGTGGAAACATACATACCAAATAATGGCATGCATAGCATGCACAGAAGAGCGCATACATGTATCATATCAGCGACACATATGCATGCACCATCACGTTCTTGACCGGTTTTGGTGCCAAATAAAGACAGTAATCGCTGTCCCAACTGATGGCTACCCGATTAGGTCGCTTTCAGATGATGTTTCCGACGAGGGCCACAGCCACACTTGGATTCCAAGGACAACCAAAGTCTCATGCTTTGTCACTCCATTGAAACAAAATTGCTGACTTATCACCGATTTAACACAAATATGAAAATATATTTATGCATTGAACCGCCGGTGTCGTCACCGGACTGTATGTTTGATACACAACCGTTACTAAAGAGACACGTTGCCGACTGTGACAAACAAATCGTCTCTGGCGCAAAACAGTGGTCGGCGGCGTCAGAGCCGACCCCCGGTGGCTGCCTGCATCTCTGATTGTTTATCCATTCGATATCATTTGATCGTGGCTCTGTTACTCTCGAAATGATTAGCATTAAATTGTTTTTGACTTTTAGAAAGTGATTTCGAAACGGTCGCATGATCATTTTTTCCATGACACTTGCTAAGCAGACTTGTTAAGTGTACCCGTAACCTACCACTCACGTTGCGCCTCCTAAGTTCACCACATATCTTTCCATTTAGATTTTTGCCATACAGCACTGCGGATCGCTTCTTTGCGGCTTAGAACAGGGGCGATCTCATAGCCCTGGTCAGGGAGGAGGCACAGGGTTGACAAAGCGCCCCCTGGTGGTAAAAGCCCCCCCCCCCCCCCTCCCAAGAACATCTATCACTAGATTTGGCCCACTTGGTCCAAGACGGGCATGATTCGCTGCATTATGTTTGCATTCGTAGCTCCTTTTATTGGAACAGAAGCTAGATCAGCTAAGAGAAAATGCAGTTCTGTTTTTAGTTTTAAATCAATGATAGCTGGAGGGAAGGGATGTTGAATGGCTGCATGAAATAACTTGTCGGTGATGTTAACTTACTATATGACGTGAACTCGCTCTAAGCCGATAGGACTCAGAGGCTTTGTCAGAACTCTCTCTAAGCCGATAGGACTCAGAGGTTTTGTCAGAATTTTCTGGGGTGTGTGGAGATATTGTTGGACCCGTGAACGTTGATTACATCGAAGTGGGTCCACGTATTAGTATTAACATGACCAACCTATGTTTGTCTGGAAATATTGAGCCTCCAGTCAGAATCGATTAGGGAAAATAGATTATGTACCATGGTTTTGATCACGCGCGCTCGCGAATCTCAGAAACAACAAATACAGGCGCCTGGCGTTGCAGTGTCCTGGCGTTGCGTTGCAGTGTCCGCGAGCCGCGCGACGTCGGTCCCCGGCGCCTACCAGGCGGCGGCCGACAATCGGACGGAAATAATGACGCATCGGAAAGAAGTACCTGTGAACTGTGTAGACTACCTGTGCGCCTAGAAGGTGGTTCTGACGGGCATTTCACCTGTGCGTTTTGAAAGCTGATAATACGAGCGAACTGGCATTTACAGCACCGCGAACTGGCGCTGGAATCTAGTGGCGAACCGGAAGAGCAAAGGTAAAGCCTCATGCTGTTGTGTTGCTTGAACTGTTAATCTGTTCAGAGGACATTCTCAACATTATCAAGGTAAAATATACGCCCAGTCTAATCTTTGAACAACAAAAATATGCATTGAAATCCTCGCAGATGGTTCAACAATTGGCACAGAGACTACATTTCGGCTTAGCAGGCCCTCAGCTGAGATGTGGTGGAAGCCCATCGGTCCACACTGGAGGTCCTGACAGACATTCTTGTTTTATGACAGGATGTATGGGTCCCAAACGGTTATGTTCGTGGGGAGCACAGCCAGGTATGAAGTCCTTTGTAGTCTCAGTATGGTAACAGCATCGGTGGGCTGGGGCTTACGCAGTCAGTGCGTGTAGATGAGAAACATTTGGTGCATCGTATGACGTAATGAAACACCGAACTAATTTGGACACAATTACTGGTATTGCTGTTGTGCATGTGTACCCGTTCGTTTATATTAATTCGAGACTTAATTTCAACGTTGCGTTTGCGTATCACAATGTTCTCGCCACCTACTCCTAAGAAATATATGTTGGGCTCCAATCCTAAGCACGGCCACGGACCGTTAAGAGCGGTCATATAGCAAACCCACCCTAACTCTAACCCTAAGCCACCCTGGCCAATCCTAATTCCCAAACCCCGAAATGACGTCGTAGTTCGGCTTGTGGCCGTTTTGAAACAGCCACATTACAGCCTACTAATTTCCAAAGCGCCAAAAGGCGTTGTTGATCTATTCTCGGGTGTGGTCGGTTCTCAAGAGATCGCATTGCGGCGTGGCGAGTCTTTTTCGACGCATAACGATGTGGTTGTTAATCAGCAATCCTCTACCCGATGTAGTTGACGCATCAGGAGAGGACGGTGGTGTTTGGCTCTTGCAATTAGTCTTCCTGTAAGCGGTACCGTAAATTGACTTGGAGCAGTATAAGATTAATGATATTTATATCGCACTTGGGAGTAAGACGTTTGGGCTGTAAAGCCATAAAGCCTTTTGAAAGGCTCTAGAACGGAGGATGCTCAAGTCGGATTTGGGAGTTGGATGCGAGAGTAATTACCATAAACCGGTGCAAAATGATCAAGCATGGTTATTTGAAAACAACTTTTCACTGATCCTTTGTCACCAAGACAATTTCTTCACTAGATATAGATCTGAAGAGAATACCCCAAAGTAAGAAGAACTATCCCAAACTTGTGTTTGTTTTGAATCCATTAGCGTCAGAACTTAAAACATGAGTTGAAAAACGGCATTACTCCTAGCATGTTTCATTGGAACAGTCAACCCACAAAGTCGAACCCCATTTTCGTCATGCCGTTTGTCTTAGGCAAGGTGTGTGGGAAGATAATCATGCAAGCAACCATACATTCGCGGAAAATTCCTTTTAGCGTATCAGGTCGTCAGCACAGTGGGTAAATGACTTCAGCACAGTGTGTCAAAACACGACTTGACATATCACAATGTGATCGTTTGAGAGCCGCGCACACCCCGAAAAGAGGTCTACAGCGTCGCGTGACGTTTTGTAAATTACCAGAGCGCGATGTGGCCGTTTCAAAAACGAAAAAAGCTGAGCCTTGATATCACGTCGTAGTTTGAAAATCAAGGGCTTGCCACATCGCGAAGTGGTCTTTTTAAACGAACAGTGAGCGTTTTCGGGACTGAGGCCCAACATATATACCAGAGAAATCTGCGGTCAAGAACTTCTCATGGAACATAGGATACGCTGGCACCGCCATCACGACAGAACGACTTCCACCGTTTGCATCCTGAACCTCCAACCAACGAGCCGCGAGCTTACCAGCGCCTGGAGCGATGTCGCTCGTCTAGCGTGACCCAGGGCCAGAGAGAGCAGAAGCAGGGGCCGTAGAACCGCCATGTTGACCGCTGCTGACCGGCTGGACGGAGCGTCGGTCTAGCTGTGGCCCCACCGGCGGCGACTCGGCGACCCCGTGTCTGTCCTGGCTGGAATTGGAGTCTCTGAGCTCGGGGAACTGCGGGCGGACAAAGCACGTGCAATGGTGGTGTAGCCGGGCCGGCTGGCGCCGTGGCTTGTCAAGTTATTTCCGCCGCCACTGCAAAGAACTGTTTCTGCCTTCCCGGCGCATTTTTTCCAAGGCACACATGACCTTATGTTCCGGATTTCCCCGCGCTTTAAACTTGCTTGCCATTTGCCGGGCCTGACGGAACGCTCGGGCACATGAACCTTGCTCCGCCATTCCGTCACCACCTGACGATCACATTTCTGAGACACGTTAACCAGGGTTGTGGGAGACCATCCGGTCGGTGATGGCGACACTTGATCGCAGCGGTGAAATCGCCTCTCGTTTTGTGCCGGGAGAGCCCACGACAGTTGTGTGTCTGTTGTGATGCCTCCGCTTGATGCGTGTGGAGTTGCAACGTATATCAATATGTGCGGTCAAACGGAATTGTTTGAGAACGCTCGCCACTTTTTCTGAGAGACAGAAGCCTTATTAAGGTTTTCTTGTATCAAGATTTTTTCATTATCGCACGATTCGTACCCGCGCCAACTCTGGATCCCATCAAGAAGGCTCGTTGTATTATTTGTTTCCGATAATAAAAATGATACAGTATCTGGTTTGATGAGCGGATTAAGGCAAACACAGAAGGCTTAAATCTGAGCGTCTCTCCTAACAATAATGCCAAATATTGTGATCGCCGCTGGTGAAGCCGCCGGTGAGTCAGCGCTTGCTCGCCCGACCTGCGACGAGACGCGCGTCCGCCACCGCTCCAGGTCGACACCTCCAGCCGTCTTCAGCCAGCGGCGGACACCCGACCCAGGAACGCACCTTAGTTTACGCACCTTAGTAAGAAAAATTATTTAATGTTGTCCAAGAAGAAAGCTGTTAAGTCAGTGCTTAGTTTCAAGGCTGCATACAGATTATTTATGAAATATGCAAGCCGAATCTGTGTGCTATGTTTTGAATGGCATCCACTTTGAGCTTCTAAACGCAGCACAGCCCCAATTAGTTGTAGATATATGCTTTTAAAGACGATTCTTTCAAAAATTGTTGGCACGCAAAGAAGTAAACTAATTTGTCCGTGCCTATCACGACCTGACCTTGACGTTTTGTTTTTTTAATGGGATGAACCTTTGCTTCTGACAGGTGTACGGAAAAACGGAATGGCTTGGTGACACATAAAAAGTATTTAGCGAGGTAAGTTTTTATCAAGACGGCAGACATTTTTAATATTTTTGCTGAGAAATTGCCTGAAACGTATTATTTGTTTGGATCGAAAGAGTTAAGTACGCTCAGCACTTCGGCCTCTGTAATGGTATGGTTATGCCATCTTAAGTGCGTGCTGGATACACAGGGGCCAGTCGGCCGTCACGTTTTTGGAGCCTGTAGCATTATTCGATAGCCTTCGGTCATACGATAGCTTGCAGATTATACCTGCTAGCCACCCGAGTGAAGCGTCCGTGTGCGCTGTGAAATCGTCAGCGGGGATTGAAGATTATTAGCCGTCACCATTTTGCACGCTACGCCTTTTTGCCCACCTACACCGGACGCCCAAACAATGAGGCCGATTTCGCTGCCGTTCGTGCGTGCCTGGGGCTGAGGACTGCCGTCCACGCTAAAAGCTGGGCTTGACCGAGCGGCAACAGCGGCGGTCCGCAGTGGTCAGCGGTGCGCCAACACGCCCGGAGGCGCACCTGGCGGAGGCTCCTGACCCTCCAGAGGCCTGCGGTCGTGAGCGGGCGCCCTCCCGGCCAACCTACCTCCGCAGCGTACCCTGCTGGAGCGCGAGGCAACCGCGCCGCAGCACCAGGGACGCCCGCGTCAGCAGAGCACCGGCCGGCGGCTGACGCGCTGGGCGCCACCCCGCCTGACGATGTCCCCCAGTGTGCCTCTGCTCGCTGCGCTGCTGCTCGTTGGCCGCGCCGGCGGGCTGCCGCTCATGCTGTCGCGTATTGCTCGTTACACCAGCCTGCCGCTGTCCGTGCGCTCCATGTACATGACGCCGCGACCGACGAGGAACTTCTGGCGCCGCCAGGGCGCCTACTTCGACCCCAGCGGCCTGGCGTTCCCCGATGGCGGCGGCTCGCTGCCTGCCGGCCGCATGGAGGGCCCCAAGGCGATGGAGGAGACGACGGGCGGCCGGAGAGATGCTGACGTGCTGCTGGCGCTGCCCGGAGCATACCTCCTGCCGCCAGAGCCCACGCCCGAGGAGCCGAGCCATCACGAGGTGACGACGGCAGCGCCTACCACCGCCGCAGCGTACTACTACTACAAGGGGAAGAAGGCGACAGCGGCGACGACGACGACGACGATCGCAACGCACCCACTTGCTCTACATTAAGGTGCGAGAGACAACACCGATACCGAAGACAGCAACGACGACCCATCCGTACTCATCATACTACTACAAGCAAACAACGGCAACGCCAACCACGACAACGAAGCATTCCCCTCACTTCTTCAAAGCGTCAACAACAATGGCAACGACGACGACTCATCCGCCACACTACCACAGAAAGACCACGCCGACGATGACGACGACCACGCGCCCACCACATTACTACAAGAAAACGACGACGACCACGCACCCAACACATTACTACAAGAAAACGACGACGCCGACGCACCCATCACATTACGACAAGACAACGACGACGCCGGCGCACCCACCACATTACCACAAGACAACGACGACGCCGACGCACCCATCACATTACCACAAGACAACGACGACGCCGACGCACCCTTCATATTACTACAAGGTGACCACAACAAAGCCGAAGTCGACCACGTACAAAGTGCGGACGACAACTGGAATCGCTACCATCGTACCGGGGCACCTACACTGGCTGGCCGACAAGCTCTACTACATGTATCGGGAAGCTAGGTTTCCCTGGCCCTCTGGACACAAAACCAAGCAGGGGCCGAAGAAAGAAAAAAACCCGCTTCGGTGCACGGTGAGCACGGACACAAGCGACAGGCTGGCGTCTGCGCGACATCCTACGGAGCTTATCCAAACTAATAGTGCTGGAAATCACCACCTGGCTTAGGCGTTAGCCTTTTGAATGACTGCATTTTCGAACGATTAGCGGTGGTTTAGGCGTTCCGATGGTGCATAACAGTGTGTATGAAACCATGTTTCTACATGCGTGGGCAAGAATACCCCACAATACTCCACACTAGCCTGTATACGGAGAAGGTTTATACTGGCGCCCTGAGGCAAAACAAGTTAGGCTATAGGCGCCTGATTATCTGGGACATCTGGCGAATGTTGGCGTTATTTTTACCAGACATTCGATCACATATTTTCTGCGAAATAATCAGTTGACAGATAAGGGCCGATAAATGGTCCTTAACACAATCAGTTATGGTCATCGCGCACCCTTGCACGTCCAAAAGTGACTCCTTGCCATGATGCTGCTTTACAGCGATGGCTGATTAGGTTGTCGTCTGTGAAACAGAGAGATATGTGTGTCTCGAGCTATACATACCGAAAACAAGTGTCTTTGGCAGACTGGAACGGAATGCTCTCGATGAATGCCCTTCTGCCATTTTTTTTTGCCACCAGCACTACCTTGACTCAAAAGTCGGGGCATCCTCCATCAGCAAGTTCTGTCACGTTTACAAGCAAACTCTGGAATTCATACCTGCTCCAGACTGCGTCATGGAGGCAGCGATAGTTTTGATGGGAGACACAGTTTTAATTGAAGTGGTCAGTTGTCCATATCAGTTGCGCGGAATGTTCAGAAGCCCCACCTGCAAAAACTGACTTGCGATGAAAAAGAGTAGGGATGAAAACAAAACAGCATGTTTGGATAGTCTGAGTGACGGTACCGTTCCCGCTTCTTCTACTACCCGTTGCTCATGCCTCACCTCTCTTTTCTCTCTCTCTTCTCTCTCCTCTCTCTCTCTCTCTCTCTCTCTCTCTCTCTCATCTCTCTACTCTCTCTCTCTCTCTCATCTCGCTCTCCTCTCTCTCTACATCTCTCTCGTCTCTCTCTCTCTCCTCTCGATCTCTCTCCTCAGTCCTGCTCTCTCATCTCTCTATCCATCCATTTGCCTACTGTGCTGCTGGACTGTACCCTTTCGTTTCCTCCATTCTTTTGCTAATAGTTGCTATCACACTGGAGGTGGTTCATATAGCATCATTGAGGTAGCTTTGATGCACCACATTTTTTTCACGGGAAAAGCAGTCAGCTCTGGTGTCTTCATGAGCGTCAGACATCTTTGCGTGATGAATATGTGCAGGGACGAATCCATATCTCAGTAAGCCCTATACTGTATGCGTCACGTTTGAACCACACCACCCCATTTTGTAGCTCTGAGATATGACACTGGTGTTAGTACAAAGAGCTAAAAACAAGTGTGATCACCCGGCGGTAGAAAACAAACCGACCCAGGCTTCCGTGACCCGTCAGAGCGGCGATCAGCTGTCGGGCTTTAGTGGCGGTGCCGAGGGCTCTACGTCACCTTCGCACCCATCAGCGTCCGTCCCCAGGCCTCCCAAGCTAGGGCTTGCGATCGTATCTGGAGCTCAACACTGTCACTGACTCAGTCTGCCGCATTGGCGCGTTTGGGGTCAATGGCGACGCGTCCCTTCTTTTACAACGAATGGGCTGCGTTTTACTACCGAGCAAGGCTGCTCGTGCCTTTATCCTCATATCTAGACGTTCTGTGGCAATGGAAGTCAATGGGCGATGGGGTTTGGTTGACTTTTACGCTTTTGAGCCTGATGAAGTAAAGCTATATTTGTGATGAAGCAAAGCTATATTTGTGATGTTCGACTGCTAAGCAGTCAAATGGTAGCGCAGCAAGTGTCCATGCGCTCGGGGCGCCGATGCCCTAGTACAAAGAAGAAGTACTTATCCGGACCGTGAGAACCCACCTGTATGTGTTTTACAAACTGGTCTGCTTGGAAATGAATG